AAGACCAGATCCATCACAATTAAAAATGTGGAACGGCTTAGTTGCCAATCCATGTATATTGTACATATCAGACACTTAGACAAACCTTAATTTAAGAAATAAAAAAAATTATAAAGTAAGATATAAAAATGCTATAAATTGAGCAGTTTATAAAAAAAAAAGGACAATTTGTGAACATTACAATCAAGTTGAAATTTACCTTTAAAAAAAAATAAACTTTAAAAATAAAACTTTTAAAATTTAAAAATTTTAATAACATTGTTAAGCTTATTCTTTTTGTTCTGTTACAAGATTTTTGAAAAGAGCAACATGGTTTCCTAACTTGATCTATTGATAGAACAGATCACCATTAAATCACAAAGTCACAATCATCAATAAGAAGAGAGCCACAGTATGACATTCTTATTTTTCCTTTTTTGTCTGACCAATACTACAGATATCCATCATACTGTTTATTTACTTAGCTGTTGTCTCATTAAACTTGTAAGTATTTTTGTAATACCAGATTTCAGGATACTTTGATCATAAGGAGCAATGGAAAACTTTTACTGTATTTGATATTTAATTTTTGATGACAGTTTAATTACACTTATCCATTAAACCCCCCACCCACCATAAGATAAAATTTAAAAATTTAACTTTAAAAATTGCACTTTTTTTTTTTTTTAAATAACAATTATGAAATATATTTACATATAAAATTTTAATAAATACTATCAACCAATAGTGCTGAGTCGACATTGCACGGTTTGACGGCATATTATTTGAAGTTCTGAACGATAGCTCTTCACAATGACATCTAATAAATGAGTAATACCAGGCAAGTGTAACTTTGCCGCCGTTAAAACACATTTGATTTGAATTAACCAAATAGTTGTTAACAACACACAGTATTTCGAGTCTAGTCAAACTAAAACCAATATAACTCATAAATATTAAAATTTTTACTAAAATGCCCTCAATGATTTTGCTTTACTTAGTTGGTTTGCCATTTTTTTTAGTATGTTTGTCATTACTTCTGTTGATGAAAGTTGATCTTTTAAAACCAAATGTTATAGCTGCTTTTCTTTTACTCATACCTTTATCCACAGCCTTCAAACCACAAGCCATCCAAACTTTCTCATGTAAATCCATGCATTGCAATATATACTATTGTTTTGTAGTTACTTCCTATTCAGTGATTTAAATTTACCAGTATTTTTTGAAATCAAAATTTACCTGCAAATTGACCAGTAAATTTTGTTTTAAAACAGGGTAATTTTAAAATTATAAACAAATTCTTTATTCAAATAAAATACCATGGTAAGTATCCATCATAAAAATTTCAAAACTTACTGGTAAATTTACAGGTAAAGTTACCTGTAAATTTACGTAATTGCAACACAAGTTCATATTCACTAAGTCACATTTTTAACATACTAACATTTTACAACATTTGTGCTAATTGTTTCTTTTTTTTTTTTTCCATGAATGACCCAAGTTAGAGTATTTCAAAATTTTACTATTTTTATTAAAAAAAGTAGTTAATTTATAAAAATTAATAATTTTTTTTTTGTGTAAATATAATTAATTTGGTAATTCTTAATAATGCTAAGATTAAATATGATCATTTATTTTAATAGTTATTTTAGATTTTATTAGTATGCATTTTTTCAAATTGTTGGTTTGCTAAAGAACTATTTCAGTAGGTTGCATATAAATATTATTATTTTTTTTATAGATTCATATTTACAAACTAATTATAAATATTATTCAAGAAAAAAAGTTTGTAAAATTTGAATTTTGCATGCTTTTTTTATATTTTTTCTTAAATGACCTTTTTTTATATTTTTTCTTAAGTTACATGGTGACCGAACTTAGGCGGTTTTACGGTATAATAATATAAATAAAAATTTATACAACTTTCAACGATACTTTAATTAAAATCATTAACTACTTTATTTAAAAGAATTTTGCTAATATAAAAATGTTAGTATTTCATCACAAAAGTTAGTCTCTTGTGACTTCCGGAGAATCTTTAATAGTATCAATAATAATAGCAAATCTGTAATTCCATCTCTCTTGTATGGTTCAGACTTTGTCACCTCACCTAAAGACAAAGCTGAACTGTTTGCTGAGAACTTTTCATCAATATTATTTCTTGATTCCACTAGTTGCGTTCTACCTGATATAGCTATCACTCCAGCTTCTGTATCTAAAGTGATTTCCTGCTTCGACTCTTCTACAGCTTGTGCCGGGACAACATACCTGTTATAGTCTTGCATAAGTGTTTTCCTGAGCTGTTGTCTATCCTTACAAAACTATTCAACAAGTGCTTACCAGAGTCTTGATTTCCAGCCTGCTGGAAAGCAGCATCTGTTATCCCTAATTTTAAAAATTCTGGAGAATGATCTGATTTGACTAACTACCGTCCCATTAGTCTTCTGCCTATCATAAGCAAGGTTTTTGAATCTTTAATTAACAAACACTTAACCTCTCATCTTGAATCTAATAACTTACTTTCTGATCATCAATATGAATTTTGATCTTCTTGTTCTACAGCTGATTTGCTAACAGTAATAACCAATAGGTTTTATCGCCCATTAGATAAAGGTGGAGAGGTTAAGGCCATTGCTCTTGACATTTCTAAAGCGTTTGATAAAGTTTGGCATGCTGGTCTTCTCCATAAGCTTTCTTCTTATGGTGTATCTGGAAACATCTTTAAGATTATTGAATCCTTCCTTTCCATTTGTAGTATAAAAGTTGTCCTCGATGGACAGCACTTTTCAAGGTTCAATCCTTGGCCTTATACTTTTTTTAATTTACATAAACGATCTTCAAGATATTCTCACATTTAAGGTGGCATTGTTTGCTGATGATACTACCATTTATTCTTGTCATGATAAGAAGCCAACACTCTCTGATTGCTCGGAGGGGGCATTTGAACTTGAAAAGGATCTCACTTCTGATACACCATGGGGCTCACAGTGGCTGGTGAACTTTAATTCAGGTAAAACTCAATTTTTTTCAGCCAATTGTAATGCAAATATTTTACTTAAAGAAACTTCCTAGAAAAAAATAACAACCCGCGTTAACATCACGGTTTACCAAATTATTTTTTCAAATGGTTGCCAAAAAGTTTTTGTTTCCATTCGATAAACCAAAAAAAAAAAAAAACATTTTAAAAAAACATGCTTGTTCCTGTGTCCGCTTGTTCCTGTGTCCGCTTGTTCCTGTGTCCGCTTGTTCCTGTGTCCGCTTGTTCCTGTGTCCGCTTGTTCCTGTGTCAGAATACCCATTCTGACAATTCTTTTTTTATAACAAATACTTTGTTTGTATTTTTTGTTTATATCATACCTACTGGTTACATGTTTTTAAAACGCATTCCAAAACATATCATCTCAATGAAGCAACTTGTTTTTTTATCCGTTAAGATGAATGAACTATCTAGAATAACACATGACATCATTATGGTTTGCCATGGTGCAAAAAAGTTTTTTTGCACCGTCTTTTTCGTGACACAATATAAAAACCAAGATTTACTTTTTAAATACCTTAAACTTTAATTCAGGGTCAAATTTTAATTGTCCCTGTTTTAACAATAATTTAGACCTTCCTATATTTACGAACGGTAATGTACTTGATGAGTCATCTACCCTTCACCTTCTAGGATTAACTCTTACTTGAAAAGAGTTAATCCTAGAAGGTGAAGGGTAGATGACTCTTACTTACCTGATCTTTCTTGGAAACCATATATCAAATCCGTTTCAAAATTAGCATCTGCTAAAGTTGCATCTCTTTATCAAGCTCGACACTTTCTTACTCTGGATTCTATTCTCTATCTCTGTAAATCTCATATCTGGCCTTGTATGGAATACTGTTGCCATATCTGGGGCAGATCTTCTAATGATGCCCTTTCTCTTTTAGACAAGGTGCAAAAATGCATTGTAAACAATATGTTTTTGCACCTTTTTTAGTTGGACCTGGTTGTGCAGCCAACCTTCAACCATTATTGCATCGTCTTAATGTTGCTTCTCTTTCTCTTTTCTGAAAATACTACATTGAACACTGCTTTAAAGAGCTAGCTTCTCTTGTGCCGTCTACTAAAATTTATTCTTGTGTTACTTGTCATTCAGTTAAGTCTCATACTTTTTCTGTGACTGTTCCTAAGTGCTCCAAAAACTCTTATTCCTCTAGTTTTTTTCCTCAAATATCAGTTCTTTGGAATTCGCTTCCAGTAACTTTCAACTCTAATTAGTGGTTGCTTGCAGCCTTGTTGGAAGCAAACATGTTTTCAAAAAAAAGATATTTAGTAAAGATAAACTTGTCAACGTTATTTATAATATAATTAAAAACCGGTATGCGGTATTATGCGGTAGTGGTGTAGTGGTAGAGCGCTCGCTTCATAAACGAGTGGTTCGGAGTTCGATCCTCGCCACGTCCCTGGTAGTACCGCGCTCAACTCGTTTCTCCGCGCAGCGGCCTTGTTCATCAAGGTTCGTGTTTCGGAGTTATAGAGTTGAGAGAGGGTTATAGCCACAAATAAGTAGCCTCCTCGTCTGTAGTGGCCTTCTCGGCCTTGAGGAGGTGAATTAAAATAAAAAAAAAAAAAAAAAAAAAACCAATTTTTAAGTGCATTTGTTAAAAACCGTGGTTAAACCATCAAAATAAAATATTATTTGCATGGTCATATAAAGACTTGAAATCGCACGCCTTCCTGACCAAGCCTGTATGTATGTAATGTATGTATGTTTGTATGTATGTATGTATGTATGTATGTATGTATGTATGTATGTATGTATGTATGTATGTATGTATGTATGTATGTATGTATGTATGTATGTATGTATGTATGTGTGTGTGTATGTATGTATGTATGTATGAGTGTATATTTAATTATGTATGTATGTAAAATAATAGATTAACTATTATTATAAAAAAAATTAAAAAAAAAAAATTGTTTGAATAATTTAGAAATTAAAAAATAATTGTAGTTACAGATTTTGAATATTTTTTTTTAG